AACGTGAATTATTTAAAAGTGTATTTTGAATAATATTTAAATATATAACGAAAAAAGGTTAGAAATTAAAAATAAAGATACTAATAGAAAATCTTCACAACCAACTTAAATCAAATAAATTTATAAGTAAAATCATCACTTGATACTTATGATAAATTTTATAATTTTTTTCTAAACTTTAATTTATTGTTTTTTTATTTTTTTATTAATATGAATTTGAAGGAAATTTTGATCAATAGTATTGATCCAGGTTGATCCATATTCTTCAAATAATAAGCAATTCTGCAAAGCGGCAGAATATTTCTGATGGCAAAACAACGTTTGCCGGGTCAGCAATTATATATATATTAATATATATATATATATATATATTAAGATATATATATATATATATATATATATATATATATATATTTCCGTATGCCAAAATGTTCGGAAACCTTTGAAACGTAAAGATATATAAAAACTTTCATTTTCGAATTTTTTGCGATTACTATAACTTACCCTACGGGAAGTTGAAAAGTTTTACACTTTATTATAGAAATCACATCTACTTGGACACTCGTTAAAAATTATTGATGCTTGATTGTGATGATTTGTCACATCTACTATATTCCTGATATTGCACTTTTAGATTATTTTTTGTTTTGATCTTTTAAAAACTCCTTGAATGATAAACAATATAATGCTTAAGATGGTGTCAATTTGTACCTGATGTAGTTGTTTGCTAATTAAAATCATAAATTTTATGAAAGTGGGATAATGATGCTTCGAAAAATAACAAAAGTTTCTAGATCTCCAAAACTACTGAACCTGCCTTCCCAAATATATAATCAGTTTTTCATCTTGTCAATACAAGTGAAATATCTTTTGAATTATTAAAATCAGACGCTTCGTTCTCTTAAAAATTTAGTTACGGTTTTTGACACTTTTTGCCCCGTATCTTCGAAACGGCTAGACCTGCCTTTGCCAAAAACTAATCAGCACGTCTGCTTATCAATAGAAATCAATGGAGGTATAGAGCGCAAAAGGTGTAAAAATGGTCATGCAATTTTTGAGAGAACAAATCATCCGATTAGATTAATTCAAAAAACCTTTTGATTGTGTTTAACGGTGTGCAAAAAATGGTTCTACAAATAATTTTATAGTTTTGAACTCAAATTTTTGAACTTTTTCATCATTTTCCAAAATATAAATTTTGAAAAGTTTCGGAAAATATTACAATTAAAAAAAAAACAACAATTTCTCACAAAAAAATTGAGATAATTTCGAAATTCAAAAAAAATCGGATGTTTTCAAAAATTTCCAGATTCTTATAAAATTTAAAAAAAAATACTTTTTTTTCAAAAATTCCAAAACATATCGAACTTTTGAAACAAAAAATTAATATTTTTAAAAAATTTCAAAATTATGAAAAAAAATCAAATTTAAAAATTTCTTGTAAACATAAGTTGTTTGTAGAAGATTCCCGTCGCCCAATATAATAAGCACTTAATAAATTTAAAGTAGGGGGAAGTCCCGTAACGCCGGACGGCGCCAAGCACCGGACACTCTATTTAACACGTATTATTTAAGCGAGTATAAATCTTTTCATTTTGAAATACAAGTGAAAGGGGCACGGGGGGCACACAGATACAGGATCACGCGCCAAGCCTAGCCTGTGACGCACGCGGCCACGGCGAGAGCAAAGATAAAAGTTGTACTTGATTGTTATCCGTAAAATGATAGAATATCATTAGATCTTTTAACCAATTTTCGTAGGTGCCACCGGTACTAGGTGCCCCTGTTTAAAATCATATTTTTTGATACCAAAGTTTGATTGATAGTATTAATTATTTTTTAACAAAGATTGCGGTCTTGTTAATTTAGTTTGATTTCTAACTTTGTTATCTAACATAAATCATAATTTTATAAATATTTTGTAAAATATTTTTTTATTTGTTTATAAAAAACCTTAGGTGTCCGCCACTTGGGGACTTTCCCCTATGTATTTACATTAAATAATATATTTGAAATTATTTAAAACAATAATTTATTATTTTTATTGCTCAAATTTTTAATAACGATACGGGAAGTTCCAGCAATTTGCTTTAAGGCACAATCTCATGCACCACTAGTTTACTTCCCGTGGGGTAAGTTATAGTAATCGCAAAAAAATCGAAAATGAAAATTTTTATATGTTTTTACGTTCCAAAAACTTCTGAACATTTTGGCATATCTTAGAAAAAATGGATGTATGTGTGTGTGTTGCGGATACAAATTTTTGTCGACGATTTCGTTTCAACCGATTTCAATCATTCAAAAAAAAATCGATTACTTTTGATAAGAAGACGTGCTGATTAGTTTTTGGCATAAGCAAGTATAGCCGTTTCGAAGATATAAGGCAAAAAGTGCCACAAACGGTAACTCAGTTTTTAAAAGAACGGAGCGTCTGATTTTAAAAATTCAAGTGAATAAAGTAAAAAAAATGCCATTTGGCGTTCCAATATAATCATTAGACATATGCACATCAAATTATCAGATATTTTATAGAGATTTTAACAATAAGTATAAATTTTGTTTACATTCCTATGGGTTCTGTTCCATTATTTATCAGTAGGCGGCGTCGCGGCGCTTACGCGCTTCGATATTTCATCTCTATGCAGCTAAAGCAGTATTATTGCATTGAAAAAAAGTTCAAAATTTCCAAAATAAGTCAAAAAAAAAAACAAAAAAGTAAATTTTTATCAAAAATTTATAGTTTCTCAAAAATCTGATTTATTCAAAGTAAAATTTTTTCAAAGATGTTAATCTAAAAAAAAAAAAAAATTGGTACGGGAAGTTCCAGCAATTTGCCTTAAGGCACGATGCCATGCGCCCCACTAGTTGTATGATTTAACTTCATGACTTAATGACCTTAATCCATCGAATTCAAGGTATTTTCACAAAAGTCCAGAATTATCATTTAATTTACTTTTTTCCCAGCAAACTAGTAAATTAACAAAATTAAGCTGATAAAAAAAAAGTGGCATGACCGTATCCAGTCTTTCGTACATAGAAAATTAGATATTCTGGCGAAAACATAAACTTTTCTTTTTTAAGTATGAATATCACCATTAAATTTAATTTCTCACAAATAGATAAGCAATAATTTATTTTAAAGCCAACAAAATTATTTTATTATTTAATAATACAAGTTGAAATCCCATTACAAAATTTTATTTTATATAAAACGATATACATAAACTATACAAATTAATTTGTCATTGTGATACTTACTAAAAATATAAACTAATTGATTGTAATTCCTATTAAATTTTCAAGCAATAATTAGGAATAAACAAAACTATTTTATGTTTTAAAAATATTTGTTGAGATCGCATTACAAAATTTTATTACATATAGACCCATAAACTATACGAAAATAAGTATTAACTAATTAATCTGAGCAATCTGAGGGTATCGTAGAAATCCGATTTAGGAGATTCACTTCTCATTTAAAACTTCCTTGCAGCACATGCCTTCTGTTTTATTTCTAAAGTTCATTGCCTGACAATATTGACATACTTTAATCATTGCACCAATTGCAATCTTTCAATGAGCAAAATAGTTAATAATCGAAAGCAAGACGAACAAATAATGCTCGTGTTAATGTACAGCAGGTTTGTTGCCTTCGTCAATGTTTCAATACTTACATGGTTATTTTTCAATAGACTCAATAGACGCACCATCAATACAATTAATATAAGTCTCAATGAACTGCAAGTTTATCACTACTAATATTCTCTGGTAAAACTTTGCTTTCAATAAGCATTTGACATATAATAACCTAACTTCACAAATGTATTTCGTCGTATGCTTATTATCAACACAAAATCACAATTGGCAGCATGAAAATACATAATATTTTCCAATCGTCACCATAGCTCATAGAAACGCATCGTAATGCGTTAACCGTTATGCTTATTTATCTATGGCGTTAACTCTTGCATCGAATCGTTCATTGCATTCGGTGCTCTATGGTCTTTGGTAAAGCTATGGTAAAATGTCAAAATGTTTTTTAATTAAATAATATAACATTTTGGCTATAAATTGATATTTTTAATATACCCTATGTTTTAAATAGGATTCATATGTGTACGGTGAGCAAAACAAATTTTAAATCGGTTCAGTATTTTAGGCGTTCACTGTGGACAACACCTGTGACACTAAATTTATATATATTAAGATATAAATAAATATATTTCCACGTACAAAAATATATATTAATTTTTTTTTATTATAAAACTTTACAAAATGTCATGACCACTTGTTTCTCTCAAATTCCGCCTAGCTCACTTGATACCCAACATATACTCCATGTACAGAGTTGACCTCACACTAGTTCAAAGATATATTTTTTTGGCGGGAAAGCAGATTGTAGCCGTGTTGTGAATTTGACTTTTTTTAGCACGTGAAATCTTACACAAATTCATTAAGGTATGAACACGATCGTAGTCCATCACAACAGGATAAGATTCATCTCGCATAATTTTCGAAGTTAGTAAAACATTATACGAACTTGTTGGTAGAGTATCTGGGACAGTTCTCTTGTCGTTTTTTTATGCATATTCATGCATAAAAATATATTTTAAATTTATAATAAAAATGACCATTTGTTTTTCTCAAATTTAGCCTAGTTTACTTGATTTTCACACATTAATCAAGATAACTATTTTATTAATTTAGCAGTCATATAAATTGTTACACATTATTAAAGATTGATAAAATTAATGCAAAATTAATTGATTACAATAACGCAAGCCGAAATTTTGTGATAGTAATTTTGTACTACACGTCAAAAATAACGGACTTGCACAGTTCTGAATAATCATGAAAGTTTATATGCCCAATCGAAAACAGAGTTATGTTGTTTAAGATCCCATTAAAAACACATATTAATACTTACCCCTGTTACAATAAAATCCTAGCTCTGCTATATCATGGCGTGTCATCTATCTAATTGTTTTTTTTTTTGCTAGGTAAAGCACTAAGTTGTTACGAATGCAACAGCCACAACGACACGCGATGCTCAGAAGACATACCCCCAGAAAATTTGAAGAAGAATTGCGATGACCACAAAGGGGGCACAAAATATACGATGTGCCGCAAGATTACGCAAGTCATCGAATTCGAAGTGAACGGATGTAAGCATCACTTAATCAAGTTTGCTATTTATCTGTCAAGCCGCCAGCTTATGAGATAGACAATAAGAAATTGCCAGCTTATGAGATAATATTAATAAGAAAAAATTAATACATAATAGCTGAACGTAAAGGTGTACGGTCAATACGACAAAAAAAAAAATCGACCTAAAATTTATATATGCCAGACTCTACGTTCAAGGCAAAAAGTGTTTGGTGCACTATCATAATTATAGCATAAGCTTCAGGTTTTCATAATATGTAATAATGATAAAAGACATTGTTATCATAATTCCAATAAGAAAAGTGCATGTTTCGAATAAATATTTTACTGGATATTAATACAATAATCTCAGAGTTCAGTTCAGTTAGTGAAAAAAATAAAACAAATAAAACACGTTTACTATCTATACAACTGCCAAACAGAAAAAATTTATTAAATCAAAACATTTAGATATACTAAACTCATAGACTTATTATAGTACTGTAGTATAAAGTCTGTGACTAAACTGTAAATAACGTAGTCTATATAGACTACGAAAATGATATTAAATATTACTATAAAATTTTACTAATGGCAAATCTAATTTAAATTCATAGCTGAATTATTATTAGCAAATATTAATTGACATCGAGAACTTTAATGTATCTTACAAACTCATCTTACGTTAATATATTTTTTTGGTATTTATTAATGATAAAGATAAGCCAACCACTGACATTCGCCAATTTTTATATCGCACTTCTAAGAAATATTTTTGTGAGATTTTTTCTTGAAAATTATATCTGCAAATACAGTTAAAATATATTTAATGGAGTGAAATTATAATGCATAAATTATATTTCAATAAAATCAAATGATATTAATATATGAATGAGTAATTACTTTTACTAATGTTACTATAGAATTTGCCTGGAGTCAATAAAATATCCTTTTAGCGCCTGAGCATAGAAATAAATCTAATTTACATCTTTACTTTGCTTCTTAATTTGTCGAGGATATTCGAATAATTATTTTGACACTTTTTCATGATTTATGAGTACATCGCTGGATTATGTTGTGAGACATATGATTAGAATTTTTCATTTTTGTGATGCCGATTAATTAGTTCAATGCGATTACATGAGATAAGAGTAACCTTGGTGACATTTGCCATATCGCGACAATTTCCTAACGGAAAATATCCAGAACAACGTGCACGTCAGCATTCAAACCTCGACAAGAAAGAGATTAGTAAAGATCGTCAGATAGAATTTGAAACATTCTGCAATAAAATTTAAACTATTTGTAGAGAAATATCCACACGTGAATTAAAACGAAGCGAGAATTAGTTTACCAAAATGTTATTAACAGAGTAATGAAATAATTAATTGCTTATAAAATATATTTACCAACATAAACTGAAAAAGCGATAGACAGACATAAAATTCAAAATTACGTTTATATTTTATATATTATTTTCAAAAGCAAAAGTTTGAGTAATAATCCACATGATTTAATTGGCTCATTGTTATTTTAGTACCTTAATAATTTGTGTAATGGTATCTTGTAATTTTTATATCAGTCTCGAAATAATAACTTTCAAACCCAATTATACTCTTCCATTTAAAATAATACGTTTTATATATCATAAATACTGCATATAAATAGATATTATAGCTTTAGTTATAATTAATTTATTATTTATCTATCTTAATAGAGAAAATATCACAAATCGTACTAAATTTAATTATGTTTTGTACCAATGAAGTGACTATGACAATTTTTGATTGTCTAAATATCATTTGTGGCATTTAAATAAATTTAATTATGTTTTGTACCAATGAAGTGACTATGACAATTTTTGATTGTCTAAATACAATCGTCGTTTCAAAGTACTGGATGTTTCCGCGTACTGAGAGTAATGCCAAATCAAAAAATAGAGCAGGAAGTTTTTACTAATGATCTGCTTCCGTTTTATCTTTACAGTGCCGCCTGACACACGTGTTATCAGAGGTTGCGGATGGGACGAGTCTAGTTACAAGGTGAGGAAAAACTATTAATTTCAATTTGAAACAAAGTTTTTACAATACTAGATGGCCCGACAGACGTTGTCCTGTAACCACATCTACGTTTTTTAAATATTCTATACTAATATTTACCATTCAGTTAAAAAAAATAATTATTGTTTTTCGAATTACTATTTACACCAACATATGAGTGATATTGAATGTAGAACTGCTAGATAATTCTCAATTCCCACAGTTAAGACTTTAATTATACCTTTAACAAATATTAAAATATGTTCAATAAAATTGTTATTAAAAATTATACACTGCAGATTTATTTACAATTCATATTAACGCCAAGGGTTATATAATATTTTAGTCATACCTGTAGATGTAGATGTATAAATAAATGATTTTTTGTTTATTCTCAACTAAAACATTGATTTTCCAAATGTATCACACAATAAATGATCGTCTGTCTTTGTGATTTCTGGTTATAGCATAAAATACACGTGTTGAAAATTGAAGTCTATTAAAAGGTAAAACAAATTCAGAAAGAATTATTATATAGCATTCGCGGTAAAGGTACAATAACTCCTTGGATTTTTCTACCCAAAATTATTGCTTCAATAATGTTGCCTATAATTTTTTTAATTTCGTTCTATATTTTAACTGGCTTTTAGTAATTTTAATATTTAAAATACATTTTTTTCACTAATAATTCAATATACACTATTACTTAAGTTTATATTTGAAGTGAATTAAATTGTCCAATCCTGTTCACATGTGATCTATTCAATCTCCGAACAACAAAATTATTGCAGTAAATGGAGAGGAAAAAAGCGTGTGCCAAAAATATAAACTATTTTAAAGGTAATTAAATGAGCTACAACTTTCTCTATAATAAATTTTACCGTAACTTCTCTTATTTTGAAACGGCAAAGAGTTAAAGGGCTCGAAAGACACTCTGGTTAGATAGCCGCGCACTCTTTAAACAATCATATCTCTATCAATATTTGTGCAACAGAAAAATAATAAAAAGCAATAATCAGTCAGAACAAGACCTTGAATTATTATCTATATTTCTATACGTATCTTTTATTCTTTCAGATATATAATAATGAGAAATTTTTTGTTTTTTTTTCTAATATATTTTTTTTGTGTAATCATGAGCTTTTTGGAAATCGATTGTACTAATGTTGTAGTATTTTTTAGAGTCCGTCAAGATCTCTCAACTCATGTTAATTCTAGAGGCAATACGATTATTTTTAATTTTGGTGGAAATGGCGCTCATAAACCATTTGATTTAAGTGAAAAAAACATTGTATGCGTCTTTTATCCGCATGATAGTTCACTCATTTTACACGCAGAACTACTCATTTTAAAGCTTATTTTGAGTACTCTAAAACCCCATTTTCATACCATAACACTTTATAAAACACCGATTTATTAAGATTTTAATTGATATAATTTTGTTCATTACATGATTTTCGTTAAAATGTATATTTTTAGAAATATTTGGAAAAAACTATGAAAAACGTCAAAAAAAAAAACAAATTTTCAGTAGCCAGAAACTTGAAAAGTAATTTCTCTTTTAAAAACATTATTAAACGCATTTCTTTTTTAATTAGTTCTATTATCGATAAACGACGTTATTTTTAAAGAGATACAATTGCACCATTGAAAAAGGATGTCATCCTCCCGGGAAGTAACAAAGAAATCTAAATTATTTTCACTTTTAAACTTGAGAGTAAGATGAATCTAATTCTCAATGCAAACTGGAGCACATTAAAAATGTACAGACCCAAAACTCTTCATTGATTTGAGTAAATCTTTTGTATAAAATGACAAACATATGAATTTTTGGCACAATGAAACTTCTAAATAATTTTTTGAATAAGTAAAATATTTTTGAATCGTGATTTAGTAAATTAATACAAAACACGACTGCATTTTAAATGTTAAAAAATAATAACCTGTCAAATTGAATTATAGGCTAAGTTTGATCACTGACAGATGCATGCGCAGATTGCATCACCTGTCAGACGCTTGTTGACTATATCTTATTATATTACATATTTCAATTTTTGGCACATCTCAGCTGCTTTTTGGCAATAATAATTTGACGTTGCATTTTTCTTATGTATAGTCATGAATTTATTATATTTTAATATTGTCTTAGCCTATAAGTGAATGAAAATGTTTGGCAAATGTCTTTCGGTCTTCATTTGTTTTTAGTGTCAAACTATGCCTTAAATATTTTCAAGGTCAAACAATGATAAGCGGTTTTTTGTAATTTTTTTCATTTATTTCTAACTATATTTTTGTGAATCAAAAAATCCTAGAAAATTCTTCGAACAAACTTCAGGAAGATTTATGAAAATCCGAGTAATAGTTTAGGAGGATTAATCTTTCATACGCCATTACAGAAGAATTTTATATATATATATATATATATATATATATATATATATATATATATATATAGTAATGAGCAATGAGTTATTGGTTTTTGTATTTTTTCTTTCTAAAACTTCAATTACAAAATGTCGAAAAAATATTTCAGATTTTCCAAAACACCCAATAAATGTTTTGTGCCCAATGAAGCTTAGATAGCCCTGAAAAATTAAAGGATAGTTGGTTAAGAATAAGAGGACAGTCTACAGAATTATTGCAAAGTTTAAATAAGAACATAATTGTACAGATAAATCGACGTGATACAAGAGAAGGAATACCAAATTCTTTTAGTAAAGTGTTGTGGTCAAAGATAAATTCAGGATAAATTTTATATAGTTTTATAAGAAAGATATTTCAGAAATTTTCGCTGAACCTTTTCTATCGCATCAGTGTTGTTGATTTGATGAACGTACATTAGAATCGTACATGCAAAGAAGTGCATTGTTAGAATTGAAGTGTTTAAAATTTTTCAGTATCAAACCTAAAGATTTATGTGCTTTATTACAAATATCAGTTATTTGATCAGTGAATTTAGTCTGATATTTTATTACATCTATCAATGCTGGTGTTAGAGATTTTATAATCAAAATGTATTGGAACGCGCTTATGTGAAAAACTAAGAATCTTGCACTTTGATATATTTAAATGTAATTTGTTATAGACACACCAAGAGTGGAAAAAGTCAAGTTAAGACTGTAATAATAAGCAGTCATCAATAGAATTTATTTTGAGATATAGTTTGAGATCATCTGCAAATAATGAATATGGACAGCTAATAATTTCAGATATGTCATTAATAAAAATAATAAATAGTAGTGGACCAAGAAATTAAATTGCCATTAAACTATAACTTATCATTTTTCTATGACTTGATTTATATAGCTTTATTAAAATATTTCAACACTACTTGTTATTGATTCAAAGCCTATCAACCTCAATTTGAATTTCGAATTAATTAAATACTGTTTTTGTTTAAAGGATATTTTATTTTTTTGTCAGATTTATGGGGTAATTCTGCCGTAACAAAGCTCATAAAATAGCGTTTTCATGGCAACGCTCTATTATGCTCGTTCTTGGTTGTGAAAATTATGAACATGTATATATATTTGGCGTATTTCACATATAAACAACGCAAGGGAGAATGTTATAATAATTGCATCATCGAAGATTCTATTTTTATATGATTGTTCCTTGCACGTTTTCAAAATAACGCAATTTTTATAATTTTCACTACCAAGAACAAGCATAAAAGATCGTTGCCATGACAACGCTATTATATGAGCTATGTTACGGCAGAATTGCCTCATTAATGTTTCGCAGTTGTATTCTTTAGTATTACATGAAATTTCATGTTTATTAAATATTATTGAAAAAAAAAATTAAAAGGCATACAGGATGCGACGCATTTGGGGTTCTTACATACTATTCAGTTTTAAGATGCCATTTAAATATTTCCTTATCTTAAAATATTCATAATTGTAATATTTTACTTAAACTAACTCATTTCAGGGCAAGTGTTACCAGCGTTCGGGTTTCGGTGGTCGCCAAGAGGTCTGCTCTTGTTTAGAGGACTACTGCAACGGGTCCAGCGGACTTCAAGCTAGCACAATCACCTCCCTAGTTTGTTCGATGTTTGCACTAATTGCCTTTAGGGTGCGTTGATAAGAAATATCTCACAAAAAATAAAATGAAACGCATGTACACCTAGCAAAAGAAATGAACTCATCCAATTCATTATAAAAAGGGTGAAATGTGGCATGCAAAAACAATCCATATAAATAATAAGTTAGGCCATCGCAAATATAAATAAAATATTAAAAAAAAAAAATCGGTAGTATTTTGCAGGTAAAAACTTCTTTATTTTTGTGTGTTAATATTTATATAGAAAATTTCTATACACATTCAAGAATTGTAGTATTTTTTACATCTGTTTACCTTTAGTCTATCAGAATCTTTTTAAAGCTTGCAGAAGTTATGTAATGGTTTTTACTCATTACTTTACCCAAAAAGAAAGAAAAAGTCTTTGAAAAATATTATTTTCTATAAGCGAATAATTTATGTCGATACATTCGTCCAGCCGATATATAATATCTATATATGCTGTACATTATTGTATGAAAAGCAAATTTATTTTTGAACTGTTTGAGTTGATCCACAGATTTCAATAAAACTTTGTAATCAAATTAAATTAGTCAGCAAACTTAGCAATTAAAAAATTAAAATAAATAAATTTATTAATACTAAATTTTATGAAATTTCACATAATTTTTGGGATTTATATAATGTGGTATATTCATATGAAATGATTAACAGACATGACCAACGATTATTTGATCACAGAAAAGCCCAGTTTAGAATTTCATGTATGGACAATTAAAAAAGTTTTTTTTTTTAATTATTTATCTGTTATTTATTTTAAGATTAGTAATATGTAATGCAATCATTTGAAATTAATATTCTTTATATTACTAATAAGAGATAACTTATATGCTCATACAAAACAATTTATCTGTTTAACATTTTATTCAAAAAACGTAATTAATGTAAAATTTTAAACAAATTGAGACTTGTACATTCATGATGCTATATCAATTTGTTTTTATAGATACATATTTTAATAAATATATGTATATAAAACGTAAACATTTAGATACAAATGTATGTAGTGTACTTGAATATATGTAGCAAACATTTGAATATATACAATGCAAACATGTTAGTAATAGTAGATTAATTTTATGATAAAAAACATGCACCAAAATTTTTACTGCCACATAAGCTCTACAAATACATACATGCATACACACATACATATATAGCACATATATATATATATATATATATATATATATATATGTGTGTGTGTGTGTGTGTGTGTGTGTGTGTGTGTTTAGGATACTTATAAGATTAAGCTTATATTTGAAACTATAACTCTACATTTAAAATCAAAGATAAGAATAAAGAAATATACTTCGATCAAAATTGTTTTCTTTCTATTTCGAGAAATGTAAATTGTTTTATATATTGATAATCATTATCATCATCATCATTACAATTAGTACAAAAATTAAATTGCATTCTAAGAGTCTATAATTAACAAATAAAAAAAACTAATTGTTCCAAAATTATTTTTTAAATATCTTGATGTCAATTTACGCTGCAAAATACCTTTAAAAGTACAGATCACATCGATATTGCATTAGGTATTCTCAACAAAAAAGCTCACTGATTTGGCTCATTATTCTACTTCCAAAAATGCTCTTGCTGAACGATTTTTCTATCTAAATTGTATAAAGCTATAAAAGAACTTCAACAATATTTGTATGATCTAAGTAATATACATATGAAGTATCCTACTTAAGTGATTTGTCTGTTTACGAAAAGACTTATTCAACAATATCTCTTATTATAAATGATGATGGTTGTAGGTCTAGATCAGCAGAAACCAAGGTCATTACTTTTGCAAATCATCCTGAAAAGGTCTATAGTCTTTTACCTTGCAATGTACACAATGTACCGTAATTTCATAGATAACGGTATTCTACGAGATTAGGAAGCACTGGTATTGATGTATTGATGCCATTGCAATTGGACTTCTAAAATATCTTTCTGATAAAGGTAAGAGGTTTATAACTATTGCAATGCAATAGTACGGTTAAAGCGTTTGCCTTTATCATAGAAATTGGCGAAAATAATCTTAATTCTCATGTTTGAAAAAAAAGCATAAGGTAAATGTACACTATTCCGAGATAGTACATTATTACGGGAGTTTTTAATTTTGATCGCAAATTTAATCCTAACAAAATAGCACGATTTTCGAATTTAAATATTAGTTTTTAAAGCCGTAAAAAACATTTGAAAGCATCGGTCGTGACCCGATCGCCATTTCGTAGTGGCTTGTTAGAAAGTTAGGTTATGTGACGATTCAAAATCGTGAAATTTTTGATCAGTAATAATAAGAGATTAGTTTTATAGTTAAATCAAACATATATTTGTCAATAAATTGTCAATTTCATGACTTCCGTAATTAGGTTCACACAACTGAACCAGTGAACGTAATTCCGTGAGTATCCCGAAATTACGAAAAGCCGACTTGAAATAGTTTTATCTTTTTTTTTCAACTGTGTTTAAATTCGGCGGTATTTCTGGTGTTAATAAGTTTGTTATTGACTATAGAATACTTTAACGTAATTACGGTATATGTTTTTTTCTTAAATTTTCAACCCTGATAATTGGGTTTGAAATGACTACTCTTTCGTAAGAAAGTACACAATTTTTTTACTTATTTGCATTACTCCAATATACCTAGAATATCGTTGTAATAAGAGAATCATTTGTTTCTACCTTTTCATCTATGATCAATTATTTCTGCTATATTAATTGAATAAAAATACAGGTAAACCCCATATAACGCACGGTACTTATGGGGCACGGATTCCATATTTTGCTGGTATGTATGCAGAGATTATGGGACATTCCTGTAAACACAGTAGTTTTGATTCGATTAAGGCAGTGATCTTTTGGAATATAAATATTATACAACCTGCATATATTAATAAAACGAACATACATCATAAGTTATTAAATTAATATAAATTGCAAATACTCAAAAATACGTTGCCGATGCTTGAATGCATTAGCTTTCTAATAGTATAATACAGTTTAATTAAAACTATTAAAATTATATTCAACCTAAATAGGGTACGATTTTAAATCGTGCTTTGAGTTTTTCAAAGAACGATGGCTCCAATTAAATATTCACCCAAAACCCTGAAAAAGGCTTTAAAACAAATTTGCCATATTGTATTAAATGTATTTTAAAGCTTCAAAAACATACAAAATTCCTAATCAAGCCTGATTTAAGCTAGTTGTCATTGTTAACTTTTTTTTTTTTTTTTTTTTTTTTTTTATTTGACTTCGTTATATAACATTTGGTCATATACAAAACAAAATGAATATACATTAAGGATAAATACATAACATCTTATTACTAAATTAAATTATATAACTAATTTAGATTTTACAATAAATTCATATAATATTTTATAATTTCTTTCATTTCTTATTATGCAAATCCATGCAATTGGTTTTATTATACTTTTGTCGTCATAATATTTGTCCAGCATTTCTTCTCGTTGTTTTATATACCTGCTACATTTCATAATAATATGTTCTATATTTCCGTCTTCTTCTCCACATTCACAGATAGCTGAAGACCTAATACCAATTTTATATAAGTGACTTGGAAAATTGCCATGGTTTAATCTGATTCTACTTAACGTAGTTACAAATTTTCTATCTTCATTTTTAAGACTTTTAAACCAAGTTTTTTTTCTAATTTTATTCTCTATAGTCTTATATGTTTTTCCCTTTACCGTGTCATCCCAAATTTTTTGCCATTCCTCTTCCACATTTCTTTTACTTATGTTTTCGACATCACTTTTCAGCATAATGTCCATTTTTTCTCCTTGTTTCGTTGCTATTTTTGCTAATTTATCCACCTTTTCATTTCCCTCTATTCCATTATGTCCTCTGATCCACGTAATTTTTATCTCATTTCCTATCAATTTTATATTTTCTAACTCGCTTCGAATTTCTGTATAAATTGCTTCCTCAAAAAGATTTTTTTTGTTTATGCTTATTAATTTTTCTACACAACTTTTACAATCGGTATATACAATTGCTCTTCTTATGTTCAAGTTTTTAATATATTTTACCGCTTCTCCTATAGCTACTAATTCCGCAGTATATACTGAAACAAAATCTGGTAGTTTTATCAATTTTTGAAATTCTTTATTCTCATGGATCATGGCACACCCTACTTCATTATTTACTTTAGAGCCATCTGTGTAGATTTCCTCATATCCTCTACTGTTTATAATATTTGTCTCTTCATTATTAATATTGACAAAAAATTGTTTACCTTCATCAAACCATAATTTTTTAAGATTAACGTTGTTTTCATATATCTTATAGACATTAGTTTTCTTCATGAAATTCAAACTGTCTACCATAATATTTTGCTTATTATCCCAAAATTTATTATTCTCCATTAATTTTTCCAATTCTTCTAATCCACTAATAATATTTGGCTCTCTTCTTAATATCTTCTTATAAATATATTTATGGATTAAATATTTCCATCTTAGTTTTAGAGGTAATTCTCCACTTTCAACTAACATTGCATTTATTGGCGTGGATTTCATTGCGCCAATACATATTCTGATACATCTATATTGTACTTTATCCAATACCTTTACATGTGGACTACTGTGATAAGCAATGCTACCATAATCTAAAATTGGTCTAATCAAAGTTTTATATAGCTCTAAACTCGTTTGTGGATGAGCACCCCACCATGTTTTGTTCACCACTCTTAATAGGTTTATCCTTTTTTCTATTTTCTTTTTAATATCTTGTATACATTCTTTAAATTTCAATTTTTGATCCAACTTGACTCCTAAAAATTTATTACTATTTTTAACCGCTATTGAATGCTCTTCCGTACTAATATGAGTTGGTAAATCATTCAACCTATGTCTTGTGAATACCCCTATCGAGCTTTTCTCATCCGAAAGTTCCAAGCCTTTATCCCTCAACCATTCATGAAGTTTTTTAATATTTTCCTTCATAATATTAAACGCTAGATTTAAATCCCTTTGTTCTACATAAATGAGTATGTCATCGGCATATTGTATAATATTAGTACCTCTTACCCAAATATTATCTATATCTCTTACATATATAGCATACAATAATGGGCTAAGTATACCTCCTTGTGGTAGTCCTTTATTCACTACTCTTTCACCAATTATTTTGTTA